GGTTAAAGGTCAAAATCATACCTGTCGACCTGTTTTTAAAATCGTCGTAGTTGTCACAAAAAAAAACCTTGTATTTATTTTTATTAAAATTATTTAAATGATGTCATCATTGTAATATTTTTAATAACTTTTGTTTAAAACAAAACAAATGAATACACTTTTTAAAATTTTAAATAATTCAGTTATACCAACGTTGTAAAAAAAAATTATTGTTTTCGATCGGAACCTTTTAAATTAAAAAAACAAAAATGATAACTTACCTTATAAATTATTATTTTTCTTTTTTTCAGGAATCGGTATAGATGACACGTTTGTTATGTTGGCTGCATGGAGGAGGACATCAGTTACAAAATCCGTACCTGAAAGAATGGGACATACGTTAAGTGAAGCTGCCGTATCAATAACAATAACTTCTCTCACTGATACCGTCAGTTTTTTCATCGGTGTTTTCAGTCCATTTCGTTCCGTACAATTATTTTGCATATATTCAGGTACATTTTATAGAAAATAATTTTATGGGTCAGAGGACGAAACGTGTGCGAACATGATTAAATACATGATATATTTTTCATTTCAGGAATAGCAACAATTTTTACCTTTTTATGGCACATAACATTCTTTTCCGGTTGTCTGGCTGTTTCCGGTTATTGCGAAAATAAAAATTTACATTCCGTATTTTGCATACCCGTACAACCAAAATCTCTTTCGGGTAAGTAATTTTTCTTTTTTTTTTTAATACAAATAAGAAAAAGGATAAAATAATCACCAGAAAATAAAAACAAAGCAAACGTGGGTGCCATATTAGTTTTAAAAAAAAAACCACAGGGCAAATTATAATGTGTTGCTAAATTTACATCGTTTAAAACAAACAAACAAAACGACGTTCGACAAACAATTTCACGGTATAAAATATTAAATTATTTAATTTAGTCCTTGACGTTTATTCCTAAAAGAAATTGACAGAAAATATTTTAAGAATGAGAATTTTTTTTTCTGAACAAATATTAAGAAAATGGCGCCATCGGTCGACACTGAGTAGATAGGAGAAAAAAAAATGGCATCGGTGTCGGTAAACAAGTAAAATTAATTATTTCACATAAAAGAAGTCGGAATATCGGAAGTCTTTAGTAAAAGCCTTGATAAAGATTACATAATTTTTTTTTTTTTTCCAAACAACTATTCATTCGACATCATCATCCATTCGTCGTCGTGTTTCGATTATGCAATTATGTACCGCACGATGTTATAAATTGATTATTATTGCATGATAGTTTGCACTCATTGTTGTTGTACAAAACATTTATATATTATTATTATTAATAGTAAAAATGAGGAAATAAAAAAAAAAAAAAATTTTTTTTTTTCCGCCAATTAAAACTCGTAGTACTTTCCGATTTTATTTACGCCTCGTTATTATTATTATTATTATTTTTTTTTTAAAAAAACGCCAAAATATATCGATATCAAAATCAAAAAAAATTTCCAAGAATATCTCTTTCTCTCTCACTCGAAAAGTTACATAAAATTGTGGTCTTTCTCTCTCTCTCTCGTTTTTTTCTATCTCGGAAGTATGTCATGCGTTGCATAAAACAGATTGGCCTCCAGAGTTCGATAAGATGTATTACGTCATAGACAACATCCTGTCCTTTCCGGTCGTTACGGGACGAAATAGCCTCCAGGTTTTATGAACTTATCACACTTATTGTTAAAACCTATGTTTTCTATTAGGATTAATTGATGATTGCGTACATGCTCTTTTCTCTCTCTCTCTCTCTCTCTTATTATTTAAAAAAAAAAAATTTTTTTTTTTTTTTTGTTGAGTAATAATAAACTTCATGTTTTTTTTTTTTTTTTAAGGTATTTAATTAGAAAATAAAATAATACCATACGCCATTATTATTTGGACGTCAATAAAAAAAAAAAAAGTTATCCAACACTTTTACCGCCTTTTTTTTCTTTTTATATCACGCACACATTTTAATTTTTATTTGGAAAATATTTAACTGTTAATTTTCCAATTTGTTTTTCCATTCTTTATTTAAAAAAATTTACAGTTCCAATATGGCGATTTTAAAAATATTTTTCATAACAAACACCGGAAAGGGGGTAGAAATGTAAACAGAATTTGTACAACGAACGAAATCAAATAGTTTAATCGGATTTTTTTTTTTTGTAAAGATTAGTAATAATAATAATATCGAATATATATTTTTAAATAATAATAATAAAAAACGACGATTTTATTTAATATCGTGAGAGTTTTACTAACGTAATGGTAACGTGATAGATACAAAACCAGTTTTTTTTTTATATAAAAATATTAGAACGAATAAAAATATAATAGTTTTAAAAAGAAATAAAAACCCTTTTCTTGACACTTCAAGGAAATTATTTTTAAAAAAAAAAAAAAAAGGGGGAGAAAAATTAGAATTAATGGGTAACAACATCCTATTGGAATGTTTTTATGTTTCTTTTATCAAAGAGTTAAAAAGTTTTTTTTTTTTTTTTTTTTTTTTGTCTTAAAATTTATACGTAAATGATTTAAACTTACCATTAACGGGGTATATGCAGGGGGCTCGGTATCGAACAATTAGTTATTACTGGCAAATGACACATCAGTTTTTTTATCCCATGTAGAAATTAAATTCAATTATTATTATTATTATTTTATGTAACTATTTATGTTCATCATTAACCCCTTTTGCATTCCCCTAAAAAAAAAAAAAAATTAAAAAAAAAACAAAAATTAATCATATGAAAAATTAAAAAATATACATTGAAATCAATTTGTAATAAGATGAGGTCAATTTTTTAAAAATTGTGTCGGCAAATTTTTTTCTTTTTCAAAACGATTATGTAACAATTATTAATCAGAAAGAAAAAAAAAAAAAGAAAGCTTTCATCTTAAACATTGTTTTATGTTATGCAGAATTATTATTTAACTTAACGATAGAAAAAAAAGAAAAAAAATGATGAGAGAGAGAGAGAGAGAGAGAAAATTTGTTTTAGTAGGATGATGACATACTTAAATTATTATTATTATTATAAATTAAAATCATTTTTTAAATCGATTTATTTCTTTTTTATTATTATCATTATCATTCATTCATTACACGCACGGTAAATTAGAAATTCACGATGGGAAAACAACAACAACAACAAAAAAATTTTTTTTTTTTTAACTTTCTATTAAAAATTTATGAACCGTTGAAAAACATTTTACACAAATTATGCATTCTTGTTAAAAAGAAAACAAAAAAATTCTTTTTTTTCTTCTTTTTCTACTGCTACAATTTTATGGCTTAGTAATAATAATAATAATAATTATTACTTAATATTTTCTTTAAAAACGAATTTATTGATGCAATTATAAAAACGTCATTCTAATTTTAAAAAAAAAAATTCATTTTTGTAAATAAATAAATTGTAATTATTATTATCATTGTTTTTAGTCAATAAGGTAATAAAATGATTTTTTTGTCGTTGTTGTTATCCTTCTTTTTACATATAGATAAATATTTTATAAAAAATTTTAGTTTAAATTAATAATAATAACAAACGGATTTGAAAAACGAATTACGTAAACGTAAAAAAAAAAAAAAAAACATCTACGAATATTTATTTTATTAAATTACTTATATAAATTTAAATAATTTATTATTATTATATATTAATTATGTCTTCTTAATGACTTTCAAATTAGCAAAACAAAAATTCGTAAACGAATCGTAATGGGTCGTGACATAAAAACAACAACAATAATCACTTTTTATTTAAAAAAAAAAAAAAAACGTTAAATAATTCATTTATTTAAAAAATAAATAAATAAGCGACAAAAAACGTTTCGTGGTTTTTTTTTTTTTGTGACGACGTGGAAGTAGATGAAAATTGGAGATTTCTTTTAAAAAAAATCTCATTCATTCATTCAATAAAAATCTTACATAAAAAAAAAAAAATAATAATAATTATGTTTTTCGTTATAATACAAGACAGTAAACCCTTGAAGGCTTAACCCGAATTATTAATATCAAGTGAACGTATCCATTAATTGATTTATTATCATTATTATTATTATTATTTACAGTTAACAGGCATTGGTTGTACAGAGTTTTTTGTGCAGGAGGTATCAATCACGAAGATCCAAATAATCCGATGGATAACAGCGAACATATGATTATGATATTTTTTAGAGATCACGTGGCTACTTTTCTTAATAAGTGGCAAGTCAAAGTCATGGTAAGTAAAAACGATTTTTTTAACCCATAAATACATAAATGTGAGTCGTCGATTCTCGAACGATATAATCGTTATCGAAATAATCGATTTAAAATAATTTTTTCTCTCTTGAAATGCTTCCTATTAAATTTTATATTAATTACGTAAAAAAAACGGAAAAGTTGTTTCATTATTATTATTATTATTTTTTATTCTCTTCCTAGATTCTTTTTCTTTTTGTTGTTCTATGCCCTCTCGCTCTCACAATTGTGCAAAATTTTTTTTTAGTTATGTAAATTTAATTCTTTTGAAATTTAAAAAAAAAAAAAAAATTGATTTTGGTAAATTTTTAAAAGAAACAAAACAAAATTTAAAAAAAAAAAAATGGTTTCGTGGTTTTTTTTATGTTAAATTAATTTCCTTCCGTTTTTTTTTTTTTGTAATAATAATTAAAAAAAATTAAATTTAACGTTTGATTATTGTAAAAAAAAATTTCAGGTTTTATTAACGTTTGCCGTTTATTTAATGGGTGCTTGCTATGGTATAACAACACTTAAAGAAGGTTTACAAAGAAGAAAATTATCTCGAGCCGATTCATATTCCGTTGAATTTTACGATCGAGAAGATTATTATTTTAGAGAATTCCCATATAGAATACAAGTATTAAAATTAATTTTTCTCTTTTTATTTATAATTACTTCTTCAGAATAACTTTGATTAAATTTTTTCTGTTTTTTTTTTTGTTTTATCCTTAGGTCATCGTTTCTGGAGAATTAAATTATTCCGATCCGAATACTCAGGATGAAATTGAAAAATTAACACAAACGTTTGAAAATTCTTCCTTCGTATCGAATTCTCTATACACAGAATCCTGGGTTAGATCTTTTACAAGTTACATACGAAGAAACGGTGATTATTTAAACGTAACCATTGATACAGAAGAAGATTTCATTGAAAATTTAAAATCGGTATTTATTATTATTATTATTATCATGTAAAGTTTCAATGTTTACAGAGTGCAATTATTAATGATCGCTGTTTTAGCTTTGGCTTTTCAAACCCAATCCGTTTTCTTTGGATGTTAAATTTAACGAAGATGAAACAAAAATTTTGGCATCGAGATTTATGATTCAAGCCATTAACATTACCGATGGTAATCATGAAAAAGAAATGGTACAAGAACTCCGAAGAATAGCACATAGCAGTCCATTAAACGTCACCGTTTTCCATCCTTATTTTGTTTATTTCGATCAGGTATCGAACGATGGATATTTATAAAAAAGTTTTCATTTCCGAGTTTTAATTGTGATTTTCTTCTTAAATTTGTTTTTTTTTTTTCCAGTTCGAACTCGTTCGACCGACGTCCATACAATGCATGGTAGTAGGTGCTATAATAATGATGATAATATCATTTATTTTCATACCCGATATGATTTGTGGAGTTTGGGTTGCGTTTTCGATAATTTCAATCGAACTCGGAGTGGCCGGATATATGGCTTTGTGGGATGTTCGTCTCGATTCCATTTCCATGATTAATCTTATCATGTGCATCGGATTTAGCGTTGATTTCACTGCGCATATTTGTTATACGTATATGAGTTCTTCAGAGAAAAATTCGCAGGAAAGAGTTAAAGACAGTTTATATTCATTAGGTCTTCCGATTGTTCAAGGAAGTTTTTCAACAATTTTATCAGTTTTTGCCTTGATCTTAGCCGATAGTTATATATTTTTGGTATTTTTTAAAATGGTGTTTTTGGTCGTCTTTTTCGGCGCTATGCACGGACTCTTCTTACTTCCTGTTCTGTTAAGTTTGTTCGGACCTGGAAGTTGCACGCGAAGAAAAAAAGACAAAGTATCAAAAGTTGAAAAAAGCTTGCCCTATCCTTATTGCATTCCACACCCGAGTTTAATTTCAACAAACTGGGGAGAGCCACAACCGCAGCAGAAAAAAACTGACTGGGATGTTTCAGAGAAACAAAATAACAACTTTTTATCAAACAGAGCGACAATGCCTTATTTGCCAAATTTACCTTCTCATATGATATTAAGCACATATGAAAGAAGTAGTCCGATGTTGGAAAAAGATTTAGGACTTGGAACGTCTGGAGAAGAATCAAGTGAAACAGCCTCAGGGTCCGGACAATTCGAAGTAACGAAGCAAGGGGATAAACGACACAGAGGATTTGAAGAAAATTGGAGAAAAACCGGAGAAAAAAATTGGAATTATTGGAAAAATAAAGAGGGATATAATAATAATGCTTATTTGTCAGATGACACTACACGCCCGAGGCATTTTAAAAATTTTGATTCGAATGACAAATACAATAGCTCAAAAATTGAATATATAAAAAGAAAAAAAAATGGTTCTGGGAATCCGGAAACTTTAGAAAAATTAGAGGGTAATAAATTATATCGTGACAAACAAAAAAGAGAACGTTTTCAAGATAATAATAATAGGGATTTTACTAAAAATGAAATTAAAAAATTTTCCTATCCTCCAAAATCAGATGTTGTGTGGTATCACCCACATAACAGTAGGTATTCAAAAACTTATAGTATAGATGATAGTCAGTTAGAGGAAAGTAGAAGAGGCAAACAAATATTTCGAAGGCTGTCTGAACATGAAACATATGCAAAATATAGAAATGGTTATCATCCCTCTCACAATTTTTAATTATTAGGAATATATGTTATAAATTGATTGCTTGATATAGATAGTAAAAATTCTAAATAAGTAATTAATTCCTGTTTCAGGTGTTTACTATTTAAAAAAAAAACATTATTACTATTATTATTAATAAAATTTTTTTTAGAATCAAACTAAAATATTTACATGATTTTATCCCAATTAATTAATATTTTATGAAATTTAATACAATAAATACAATTGTACAAATAAAAATAAATTACATATAATTAAATCACACACACATTAAAAAAAATTATATGTTTTATTTTTATTTATAATTAAATAATTTGCTATGACTATAGTAATTATTTAAGAACAACAATAATTAAAATCTTAATCATTGTGAGTATAAATTAATTAATTATATTATTATAGGGGTACTTATTTAAATTAATTTTTGTAACTGTGATGTTGTTCTCAGTTTATGTGACTTCCATTTTAATAAAGACAATGCATTCCACACACACATATATATGTATATTATTATGATAAAATTTAATTTTAATTTGAATTTATTTTGATAATTGATTAAAATAATATATTTAACTAATTATATACAACAACACAAAACCCATTTTTGCTCATTTTGTATACAGATTTACTCTGTTAGTATCAATAAATTGTTTTGTTATAATAAAAATTTGTTTTATTTCTTATTTTTTTAAAAATGTTCTTTAGCATACCCTATTGCAAATAAAGCATATAATATTTTTATAGTTTTGAATAATAAAACGTTTACAAGCAAAGCTTTTAATAATTTTAACATTACAATTCAATTTATAATAAAAAAAAAATGATTTGTCATTGTTTTAAGCCTGGATTTTCTTAAATTATTACATATAGGTAAAAGTATAAGAAATTTTTACTTTTATTTAATTAATTATTACTGCGCAAAAGACTATTCTTAAAACTTTATTTTATTTGTTAAATTTTCTTAGCAAAAAAAGCATTTTTAAAGAAAACTTACCCAATAATTTTGTTTAGTGAAATTCCAAACACTCATCGTCAGTTAGCACAAAATTAAAAAAAAAACCAGACAATATGCAACACGTAACGGCAATTTTGGCGGGAAAATATTTTTACGTGGTTTTAGAAATCTGTCATTTTTGATGTCTCTAATCTTTCGTAACTAGTAAAAATGGAGTCTTACGAAAGTGTATTGCTTGTCAAATCTGAAGTATTTGTTTTTAAAATTCCACCACGTACTTCTAACAGAGGTTATAGGTATGTATCACGATTAAATAATTTGAAATTTTTTCAATATTATATATTATTTTTGTTAACCAAGCTTTTTGGTATTGTAGTCCTTGAAAATACATCTGAACTGACGTGGAAAATTCATTTGCTGATTATTTTTTTTTTTATCTATTTAGAAAGTAAAACCTAATTTAAGCTGTGATCTTATTATTTAAAAGACCTCCGAAAATCGGTTTTTATTATTCATTTGTAAATTTTACTTGAAAACTCTTCAATTTAAAAAAAAACTTATATTACATCACATCCTTACATAAGATTTTTTCTTTTCCTACCTGTTTAATTTTTTCTGTATTTTTTTCATTATTGTTATCAAAAGTCATTATTGTGTGGTTGATAATTTATTCTTTTATGAATATTTTAAACTTACTGAAACTCTTATTGTTATTATGAAATTCTAAAAGTTTTTTATCATAACGACATTGTACAAAAGAACCAAAATCATTTTTTTGTTGTTTCTTTCAATATGTGTGTTTACAGTAATATTAATTTATTCACAAATGTATGATTAATAAGCCTGAAATTATTAAGCAAAAACTTTTTTTTAAACAGAGCAGCAGATTGGAATTTACAAGCACCCCAATGGACTGGTAGAATGAGACTGGTTTCAAAGGGTAAAGATTGTGTATTAAAACTTGAAGACAAAGTTACTGGAGAATTATTTGCAAAATGCCCAATTGAAACTTACCCTGGTGTAGCTATAGAAGCAGTGACAGATTCATCCAGATATTTTGTTCTTAGGATACAAGATGACAATGGTATAATTTTTAAAATGGTGTGCAGTGTTGGTCTCATAGTTTTTTAAATCCTTAACTTTTTTTTCTTTTTTTTTTTATGTAGGAAGGTCTGCATTTATTGGTGTAGGCTTTTCAGACAGATCTGATAGCTTTGACTTAAATGTAGCTCTTCAAGATCACTTTAAATGGTTGAAAAAATCAGAGGAAATTGAAAAGGAAAAAGAAGAACCAAGGCAAGAGCTTGATTTAAGATTTAAGGAAGGGGAAACGATTAAAATAAATATAAATGTTGCTAAAAAAAAAGATGGAAATGACAATGAAAATAAATCAAAATCGAAAACAGGTAAAACAGGCATTTTACCTCCACCTCCTGGAGGTATAAAAATAGCTCCACCACCATCCGGTGGATGTAAAGTTACTCCCGTAGGAAGCCCAGTACATGCTTCATCACCATCAGTTACACCATCTGGATCTCAAACAAATCCATTTACTGATGGGTAAAGAATTAAATTTTCATATATGATATATTTTTTTTATGTGCATTTGAATAAACTAATTGAAAAAAAAAATTTTTTTCATTGTTTCAGGTCATCTGGGTCATCGACCAATGCTAATTGGGTTCAATTTTAAAAATTATGTTATAAAAATAATTTATAGGGGTTCAATATGTATTTCCATAAATTATAATTCTCAGTTTATTGTTCCTTAAAATTACATTGTTTTTTTTTATTTTATTTTATTATTACAAAAATTTAAATAATAATACTATTAATTATAATAATAAAAAATATAATAAATGAAACAGAAGCAATAACGATTATTTTTTAAGTTGATATAAATTGCTTCGAATATTGGTAGGATATAGGTATACACATAAGCATTGTAAAATATGTCTAGAATAATGCTGCCAAATATTTACTTAATTAAATTTTATTGTAAGTAAGTACAACAATAAACATACTGCAGTAGAATTTAAAAAGATAATATATTATGTAATTTAATAAGTTATACTGTGCAATTGTTTAATTTTATGTTATTTTGCACATTGAAAAAAATTTTTTTTTTTTTGTTGATTTTTAATATTAATACAAAAGTATATTTTTTCGATTTTCATTTTCGATCATTATTATTATTATTATTATTATTAAAAATGATATTTAATTTAATAAAAATTCTATGTATCGTTTTAAATAAAATTATTAAATATTATATAATTGTGTATGTAAAAATGAAAAATTTTCAAATAATTTAATTATTTTTTTTTTCAAAATTACACAAATTTTTAAATTATATATATATTTATATATGTATCATGTACAACAAGCACAAAATCTATTTTTTACAGGCCAGTATTTTTTGTCTTAAATTTATATATATATATTCTTCTTTGGAAAAATTTATTTAATCTAAGGAATGTTATTGTAATGAAATATCACATTTATATATATTTTGTAATCAGCACCAAAATTATAATTTATTATTATAATATAAAGCATACTGTTTTCATTTTTTCTACTTACTTAATTAATTTAAAATGAAAATTTTATTATTATCATCGAAGGTGAAATGTAAATTGTTTTAAAATGTATATTTTCAGAAGTTCTTTTAAATGTACACATTCTAAATTTATATATATATATTAAATATATGGTTTCATAAAACGATTATTCAAGTTAATTTGTTTTTTTTATATAGTAGAGGAAAGATAAAATAAGTGATTGATATAAAATTAATCAAGTAAAAAAATTAAATTTATTGTTTAAATTTATAATTTATATAATAAAGCATTTTACAATGCAGCCAATTTGAATAACTGAAAATATTTTAAAATAAAGCCTATGTTAGTTAGTAAGAGAAAAAAAAAAAAAAGAAATTCTTCTTGTTAATAATATACATGTTAAGAAAGCTTTTTAGCTTTTTGGTACAGTGTATCAAGTACTTTACCCATGTGATGAATAACTTCGAGAGCAGTTTCATATGTTTTACTTAGTGGAGTTTCTTCGAAAACAATTAAAACACCAGCACCTTGATCTAAAATACCATTTAATTTCTTATCTAACACCATTTGTGATAATTTTTTTTCAACTTGTGAAAGTGGAAGTTGTATTGTTCTAGAAACATGTTCAACTTGAACTCTTGAATATGGTTCGATTATGCGGCATAAATTTTGTTCTAACATTGTATCGTATAAAACTCCTAAATGTGCACACACAATAACATCTTCTTTAAGTTCGTTGTTGTAATTTTGTAAAGCTTTCTGAAAATCAGCCAACGATCTGTTGCTACTAGCTGTGGCCACTGCTTTCATGGCATCAATATCCTTACCAGCATATTTAAGAGCCAATTTGCCGGATACAATTTGTGCAACATCTTCTGGTGTATTCAGCATTATTTTTGACAAAAGCATATATTTTAAAGCGACCAAAGCTTTTGGAGATTCAACAGAGTCATAACCCTCAAAGGCTTCATAAAAATATGAATAGGCAGTTTTAAAATCCCTTTCATCGGCTGCATGTAAAATACCAGATTGTAAATCCAACTCTGCTTGCATTTTAGGAGGGCAATAAATAGCGTTGGCGGTTGTTCTTGCTGATGTGAGTGCAGCTCGAGCCTTCGGTAAGTTATTTAATGCATGATAAGTCTTACTCTCTAAAAGTTGAACTTCAACTAATAAATTTTTGTCTTCTAATTTTTTGAGTTCTTTCAATAAGGTGGAGCCCAAATTTAAAGCTTCGGTGTACATTTTACGATCATAATAAAGAGCAACTAATCTGGCTTCCAATGACTGACGAAGAAAAGTGCGCTGTTCATCCTTTGCCCATTGAATACATTCCAAACATAGAGGTATCTCGAGTTTTGATTTTGACTCTAAATCCAGAAAAAAATCAACAAGAGAACGTACCAATTTTGCTGCTTTCGCTTTACTAATTTGATTTAAAAAAGGCCTTGTCTTCGTAATAAGTTCAGCAAGCTTATCCGGATCATTTTCCTGTTTATACTTTTCTCCAAGTTTAAGAATTTTTTGTTCTTCAATACGTATTTTATCGTCTTCATTTTCTTCATTCTGTAATAAGTGATTTATAGAATGAATCGCGGAATCCTCACGAGAAGCTGATCTTTCAAACATCATAGCACCCGCCATGTTTAACAAAATTGGATATCCGCTTTGTCACTAACATTATCATGTGACTTTTGTTCGAAAATTTTCACCGTGATAGTTGTTTCAGTTTCATAAGTTAAACACAGTAAACAAAGTACGTTCAAAAATTATAAAGCTATGTTGCATTTCAGAACGTTTTGATTCTTGCAGCCAATCAAATTCAATAAGATTTTGTTAAAAACTATCGACAAAACATTTTCGACGTATTGAATGTTGTGCTAACTCAAAACGTTATTTTTTTAAAAAAAAAAAAAAAAAAAAAGAAAAAAAAAAAGAAATTGCTTTCTTTCTGTAGATTGCGTATTTATGAATTGTAAGAATTTATTAAAACTAAAAAGATTTTGCAAGGCATGAGTGACAGAGAGGTACGTTGTACATGTTCTATACGAAAAAAGAAATTTAAAAATGTAAAACTAAAGCATTGTGGCTGGTTGTTAGAGCCAAGTCCGCCATTTGCCGGTATTCCAAAATTTTAAATTAGGTTTTATTTGATTTTTAGCGAAGTGAAAGTCGAAGCGGGTCTAATCATAGCGGTGTTAATAATTCAAAGGACGAAAAAAAGTCTAAATCGAAGAGTAGAGAGCCTTCCAAATCAAATCATAAATCGCGCCGGACTCGCTCAAGGTCAGTTATCGACACGGATTCTAAAAGTAGAGCCAATGTGCTAGCAAATTGGTGGGTGACGCCACCGATGTTTGATATTAATCTTAGTCATTTTTTTTTTTTAAATAAAATTTTTTATCACACATTTGATTGTGATTGAAATTTTATTTTTTTAAATATTAAAATTATATCGTTAATAAGGTAACAAATAATTGTTTCGATTAGATATTGTGAAATCGGATAGTTCATTAATTTTGAATTTTGATTTTTTTTTTTTTAACTAAGTGATAATTTAAAGATAAATTGCCAGTTAACAAAAAAAATCATTTTCTTAAAAAAACATCTTGAATTGTTTTTTGAAATGCATTTTTTTTACTTTTGTATGTGTCTTATTGACTATTTATTGTGTATGTTCAATTTTTGTTGAAAAATTTGAACTTAAAATTTTGTTCGAGTTTTTTTGCAAATAACATTAATGGTTTGTTTATGGTAAGGTAATTTGATTTTATTTGCTTATTTATTAATAAAATACTGTGACTTCATTTCACAGCCTTTTATTAATAAAACAATGTATCATTCCTCACCTTAAAGGGACTTGGGAATTGGCTGCAATTTGAAACTTGTTTTATTAAAGTTGAAAAATATATAGAAAAATAAATTACCAATTATGTGCTACTAAATCGGTCACATAGTTACAAAAGTACAAATTTAAATATAAATAATTTTTGGAGTCTTTATTTTTCAACTTAAGTTCATATAACAGCCATTTTAAAAGACCCATTTCTAATAGATCTCCAAGGAAGATGTCATATAAAGGATCACGATATAGGTCTCGCAGTCGATCTCCCCGGAGGCGATCGCGTCGGACATATTCAAGAAGTAGATCCAGGTCTTATTCTCCTCGCAGTAAACGTGACCGTCGTTCAAGCTCTCACAGTCCAATGAGTTCTAGAAGAAGACATTTAGGAAGTCGAGAAAATCCTCAACCATGTCGTTGCCTTGGAGTCTTTGGATTAAGTGTTTATACAACAGAACAAGAACTTCACCATATTTTTTCAAAATATGGACCAGTTGAAAGAGTTCAAGTGGTTATCGATGCCAAGGTGATTGAATGTTTTTATTCTCTCTTTTTTTTTCTTTTGTTCGAATAAGATTAAATTTTTTTTCACAAGAGATCTGAGCAATAAAATTAATTTTTTTTTTTAATTAAAAGACTGGAAGATCTCGCGGATTTGCGTTTTGTTACTTTGAAAGTACAGAAGATGCTAAAATAGCTAAAGAGCAATGCAGCGGAATGGAATTTGATGGCAGGCATATTAGAGTCGATTATTCTATTACACAAAGGGCACACACACCTACTCCTGGAATATACATGGGAAAGCCAACTTAGTAAGTTTCATTATGCTTCTAATTCAAATTGAATTTTTGCTTATCCATTAAAAACAATATTTATATATTTATAATAATAATAATAGCGGAGGTAGAGACAGAGATTACGGTGGAAGAGGTGGATGGGATAGAAGAGATCGTGATGATTACTATGGAGGTTATAGAAGCAGTTATAGAAGATCCCCATCACCTTACTATAGAAGAAGTAGACGTTACGATCGATCTAGATCTCGTTCTTATTCTCCTCGTAAGTTACAAAGGAATAATTAAAATAAAATCTTTTTTTTTTTTTTTTTTTGCAAGGGGGGAGGGGGAAAAAATGGATTTGCGTTTAGAATATGAAATTGACTACCGGATTAGGCCTTACTCACAACGCCATTACGCTTTAACGCTTTAAAACAAAATGTATTGGCTTCCTACCGGTATTTGTAGGTATTGTAGAGAAACGGTAATTCCCCGTAAAAAATGTTTCCCAAAATTTAATACCAAATTTTTAATTGAATTATTCTCACAAATGAAGATTTCTAGAACAATTTTGTTCAGCCGAAAACAAAGAACAATAATTACCTTTTTTTTGAAAGCAGGAGTTTCATTCGGAATTGTTTGTTTGTTCCTTGCCGTTTCTCTACGTTTGGATTTGAATTATTCAAAATACATTAATAGTGTATTTATTATTATTATTATTATTATTATTTTCGTTTTCGATAAGTTTTTTTTTTTTTTTTTTTTTTTTTTTGATAATTTTATCCGGATCATGAATTTTGTTTTTCTTTTTTGGCTCAAATTTTTTTTAGGTCGTTATTAAATCTTCAGGATTACCTTTTCTATTGGAAATCTTCACAATCGACTTCATTGCAACCAAATGCGGTGTCGTTAAATAAATAAATTTTGGTTTATAAACTATAACTATAATTAATTTTTTCGCGGTAAATTTTTAATTGATTCGTTGAATTGTACATTTATATAGTTTGAAAATTGAGTTCAGTTGAAAAAAAAACAACATTTTTTTTTTTTTTGTTTTTTTCTCCGAGTTTTCAATAAAACCGAACAAAACAAAACAAAAAAAAAAAAATCAATAATTAATGTGTGGGTTCGGTTTTTTTTTTTTTTTTTTTTAATATTAAACCTAATTAAATTTTAATTGTAGAGTTTTATTTAGTAAGTTTGACAAACCTAACAGAAGAAAAAGTTTTTATTGTGTTAGGAATTTAAATTTTTTTTTTTTTTTTTTTTTTTTACTATTGTTAGGTGGTTATTAATTTCCCTAAAATAAAAAAAAAGAAAAAAAAAATTATTAATTTTTAGTTTCATTTAAATAATTTTAGAATTTATTGTATATATAGATAGAATGAAGAGGCGACATAGTCTCGACAAGCACATTTTGTTTGTTTGTTTGTTTTTAATTTTAATTTTTTTCATCTGAAATTTTTCTTCATCTTCTAAATAATCCAAACCTTTCATTAAATAGGATTATTTCGATAACGCACCCCTCTCTCTTCCCCCTTTGTTTTTTTTTTTTTTTTGTCTAATTAAGTTATAGATTTGACTTGTGTGTACTTGAGAGTTTTTAAAAGAATCGAACCCGCCTTTTAGTTAAAATTTCTTCTTTTTTAAATTTAGAAAAATTTATTATTATTATTATTATTTTTTTGTCCTTGTTATGATGTGTGTTCACACTGATATTCATAGATCTTAATATAGTCGTATATTTGTATAATTATTTCATAGAAAAAAAAAGAAAGAAAGAGAAACTAGTGATACTTTATTAAAAATTAAGATAAATTTAAATTTATTATTATTATTATTATTATTATTATTATTAATAAAAGGCCTTGGTAATTTTAGGTTATTTGTCCTGGAAATGATTTCAACTTGTTTTGGATTATTTAGAAGATGCAAAGACAGACATTGTTTTTGGGTCAACCTTGCTTGCTTCATCTCGTTCTGGTTTATATTGGTTATTATGGGGTGACAGTTTTTTTTAAAAAAAAAAAAAAAAGAAAAAGAAAAGAAAAAAAAAAAAAAAAGTTATAAAATTAAAAAATTATGAAAAATTTTGTTAATATGGTACCTTAGGTAATAAACGAAGATGGATGGATTCAAGAACTCACTCACTCACTCTCTCTTATTTTACCTCTTTTTTTTCGAGATAAGTAATTTTAAGTAAATTTTATTGTAAAACGTAGGTTAATTAACTGATTGATTGATTGATTGATTGATTTATAATTCATACATTTACATACACGTGCATATTATATATATATATGTATATACATATAAATATATATATATATATATTATGATTACATCTTCTGATAGAATGTTTTAAATATTTCGTACAATATAAATATATAATTGTTTTTCTCTTTCTCTCTCTCTCTCTCTGTCTGTTTCTCTATCTCTTTTCTAATTAAAAATTTTAAAAAGATGTAAAATCAATCTTTTGAATAAGTTAAAAAACCCCCTTTAAAAAAAAGAAAAAAAAATTGAGATGAAGCGATGCAAATTAAAAAGGGTGATGGGCTTTTAAATTGTTTTTTTTTTTTTTTTTTTTTTTTGAATTTGTTGGTTGATTTTAATTTTTTTTTTTTTTAAATTATTTTATAACGTTACGAATACTCGATATGTAATTGTTTTTTTTGATAAATATTAACCCCCCATTCGTTGGAAATGATTTAAAAAAAAAAAAAACAACTTGGAAAGTCCATCTGAAACTTTTTTTTTTTTTTTACACCAGACAGTTGGCATGTATTTTATTTGTGTGTTACAAAAAAAGCTCTTTTTTCCATATCGTTTATAGAGTTTTTTTTTTTTTTAAATTTAAATTTAAATTTAAATTTAAATATCTGGTTCACGAATTTTAATGATTTCATTATTCTAAATGATAAATTTTTTTCTAGATTTGTGTAATTTCTCTTTTTTTTTTCTTTTTTTTTTTGAAAAACAGAAAATAGAAATTTAAAAATTAATAATAATATAAATAAAAATAAAATAATAAAAAAATAATAAAAAATAATAATAAATGATTTGAAAATTGACTAATGTGTTTGGTTTTTATTTGTAAAGGTATTAGAAGAGGTGTGGGGTAAGAGAAAATAGAAAAAAAGAAGCTCAAGACCGAAGGTCGAAGCTTTATAGAAATCGTTCAAAAATTAATAAAGAAAAACTCGAAGCTAGAAAATGTCATTAAAGAAGTTTTCTGTATCACTCGCCTTCTGTATCACTTGGTGCTCAAGAGTAGAAACACGCTAGACGTTTGCTATAGGCGTTCATCTTTAGAAGCTATTAAAGAGAGACAATATTACACCGAAAATCAATCTTCCATTATTAGTTATTAACTCTTGAAATCTTTTTGCATTTTATTATTATTATTATTATTATTATTATTATTATTTTATATCATAGTTTATAAATCATCAATAAGAAGAAAAAGAATTACATGGAAACATTCACACACACACACACTCACACAAACATAAGTTTTTATTATTATTATTATTTTTTTTTTTTGTTTGTTTTACGGAAGGGAAAATTACAAAAAGAATTTTGAAGATTATTATTTTATTTTCAATATGAAGACAATAAGAAAAATAAAATGCAATGTTTCGAGTCTTACACAAAGGGAAGAAAAAAAAACAGAAAAAAAAAAAATTGTTAATGAGTGTATACGTATGTATATGACGAAAAATTTCAGTGGGAAAAAAGTTTTTTCTTTTTTTTTTTTTTTTTTTTTTTTTTTAAAAAAAAACACTTAATCAATGACAATGATTTCTATAAAAATAAATTTTCCTTATCCTTTCCCCATGCCTCCATAATAATGATAATAATATTTTTTTTTTTTTTTTTTGGAATGTTTGTTCAACAAGGGATGACAGGGTGGAACATGACGACATTATCATATCAGCTAAATCGTAGACGCTTTTATTTTCATTATTTTTAGTTTTTATTTTATTCATTCATTTTTATTGTGCTTTTTATTTTTTTTTTTTTTTTGTTTAAACTTGGCTTCATTTTTCCCGCTTTTTGTTTCATTATTATTATTATTATTATTTTTTATTTTTTATGAACTGTATTTTCTATCACGCGATATTGGATTCTAGTTTGGTTTTTATTTATTTATTTATATTTTTTTTTGCCGGTCATTTTTTTTTTTTTTTTAAATCTGATCATTTTCTTTTTTCCTTTTCTTTTCTATTTTTTTTTTTTGTATGCGAAGCAGTACTATTATTATTTATTCCTCCCCCCCCCCCAAAAAAAAAAAAAAGAAAAAAAATGTTTGATAAGAGGCTTTTCCTGTCTGTCCTTTCCAATTATTTGGCTCACAAAAACACTTATTTCGTTCGGTAATAATAATAATAATAAGTAACATTGTATATTTAAGAATTTTTTTTTTTCGTATTTTCCGTTCAACTTATTCGACGTCTGAAATTTTTAAATTTTAGACTATTATTATTATTATTACTATCATTATTATTTCCTTTTATTTTGTGAGCTCGATTTAAAATTTTTCTATTTAATTTGTTTATTTATTTTATTTTTTATTTTTATTTTTTTTTTACATTCCAAGGTGGTAATTGTTAGTAAATTTTTTTTTTATTTATTTATTTTAGTGCCTAGAAAAAATTTATTTGTTTTAGTTTTAAAGGTGGAACATTAAAAAAAAAAAAAAAACAGGTTGAAGAATGAAAAAAAAAAAAAAAAGAATTTTTAAAAAATAAATTTCCACAAGATTTGGATTTAGTTATGGTTCACACAGAAAATGGACAACATCGAAAACAAAACAAAACATCAAGATCATACGAATGTATATAATAGTTTTAGAAAAAAAGAAAAAGGAAAAAACGAAAATGAAAATATAAGAAAAAGGAAAAGGAAAAAAGGAAAATGAAAATAAAAGAAAAAGGAAAAAATGAAAATAAATTAATTCACTTTTTTTTTCTTTTTTTTTTTTTTTTTTTTTTTTTGTCGGGAAAGGGTAGAATTAATAATTATAAATTATTTTTCTTTTTCAAAATTTATACAATGAAAATTTTTATAATTATTTCATATATATCGTTATTTAAGTAATGTAAATTTTCTTTGGAAAATTGCAAATGTTTTTCCTGTACGTTATAAACATATGCAATTTCAAAAAAGAGCGTGTCATTTTAAAAACAGGAAAAAATTTTCACACGTTGTGGTTCATCGGTAAAAATTACCACGTGATTATTATTATTATTAATTTTCTCATTTCGAAGTGAAGAACGGACATTTTTTTCATAATTTTTTTATTTGATAAAAATTCAATTTTATTTCCGGGGAATAAAATCAATCATCATAAGTTTTTCAACTCGATTATCAGTGATCTTCATTTTGATTATTAATTAACTGCAATTTGTGAAGTGTACGAATTACAATTGTGATTTGACAAAGTTTTAATTTTCATTCAACACAATGACGTATTCGGAAACATATTATTATTTTCACTTAGAAATTTATTCCAGGTTTCTACCCAATCCCTAAGGAATAAATATTTCAATATCAGTGTTGCTGCATGCCTGAATAGACATGACATGACAACAATTCTTGTTATAAGTCTTCCCGAGACCATCTTATTCGATGGAAACGAGTTAATTCCTTTACTGGGCTCCAGTGATGACTGATATCCGTGGAGTGACCAGGAACAGGAGAAATGAGGTACACAACCTAGTCGAGCTGACTCAAATCAACAAGTTAAAACAAGATTTGTCTTTATTTTGTTCTCATTTTGCTCTATTACGAATCGGCCAACTGTTGAATTTTTAAATTGTTTTTTGGGTACTTGCTCTCTTATTATTATTATTATTATTATTATTATTATTTGTCATAGTATATAAATTTTATCTGAAAAAAAATACAATTTTTGTTACAATTTATTAATTTAATTTTAGTAATTGTTAAAATAAGTAATTAAAAGTTTGATATTGCAGTTTTAATCGATAATAACCTGGCAGGATTATTATTATTATTACTATTTTTCAATAAATAAAAGTCGATCAGGATAAGAAAGTTTTTTTTTTTCAAGAACAGATCATTTGAAAATGTTTCCAAAGTTGAAGTTTACAACATGAGAAGAGAAAAATTTCTTTTTTAATGAATATTGGTTTGTTTATTTTTTGTTTTTACACATTGATTCACGTACAAACGAACGGTTGAAAGCATAACAAATAAAACATAAAAAAAAAAAACAAAAAATTTTTTTTTTTTTTAAGATTAGGGAAAAGTATCTAAATGAAACACTCACGGAATTTCAACAAGAAATTCGAAAAAAGAAGTTTAATCTCGAAAAAAAAGAAAAAGAACAATTCGTAAAAGCGTATCGTTATCGCCGTAAAAAAAAGGTATGGGAAAATAATTATTATCATCATTATTTCACAAAATATGGCGGAAATATTGTTGTTTTTACGAAACATAATATGTTTTACATTTTTATAAATAAAAATATTAAATAAGTTATGTCGGTTGAAATTATTTGTTAGTATAAACAAAAACGTTTGCGGATTTGAATTGGTGTTGACATTTTTGGAAAATCTTATTAAATTTTCTTTCCTTTTATTTCTTTAAATTCATTTTAACTTATCAATTTAAAATGGTTCATGATGATAAAGTTAAAAAATTTTTTTAGTTTTTCGAAGTAGAAGAATGAATAATTTGAAAATAATGGTAACAAGTTTGAGAAGAATTCTATTGAAAATATATAGAAGATGTTTGAGGGAAAGAGTTTTGGTGATGCCTAGCGTTTGGATTGGCATGGAGGATGTACTTCTTATTCGAAAGGTAAGTTAAGCTAAAAAGAATACTACTCAATAGCCAAAGATTCCGTTTTGATTTGTGTGGGGGGTAGCGTTTCAAATCGTTCGAGAAAAACAGATTTGTATTTTTATGTGGGGTAAAAGAGCACTGGGGAAACATTTACCCTCGAAACCGGATAAGATTGGTTACTTGATCTTAAAAAATGTTGCGTGTTTTCCCTAATTTTAAGGTTCTTTCTTAAAACACATCGCGAAACAAACAAAGGCAAAAAGGATGGTGACTGTTCGGAATCGCCCCTTACAAGGGAATACGAATTCGTAAACGCGGGATATTGATAACAATACGGGTAGTACTCGTCAGTTTAACGCGATTTTCACACGGTGCTTGGTGAACCAAGGTTCTGGTTCTTAGAGGAAAGCAGGGCTGAAATATGGGTATCAACCTTGCATAAGGTCCAATTCACGGCTCGGAGAAAGTCGTTCAAAAGTTTTGAAGGGTACCGATCGACTATATGCCAAGTCCCTCATCTGTCCTGGATTTTCAAGAAAAAAAGGATTCGATAAGTTAACAATATCAAGCATTATCTTTACGTTTAAAATTTATTGGCTGAACATTTTCTTGTTCAGTGGCCTCCTGCATTTGCTCTTTATATCAAAAAGATAATAAGCTGCAAAGCAACGCATTTAATGAACTCTCTTAAATCCCTTTAAATTATAAAAAGTCTTGTTATATTTTCAACAAGGTTATTAAATGTACCTGAGGGAGGTAAAAGGGATGAAAAAAAAAGGGTAGGGGGGAGGAAAAACTAACGATAAAATAAAATTTATAACGAAAAGGTTTTTTTGTTTTTTGAGTGTGAAAACTGACGAAGTACTATTACTATTACTTCCCGTGTCAGGTTTTGACAGGTTTAATCGCCTATAAAAACCCTGTTTCGAATTTTTCAACCTATGGATTAACAACAACGGAAAACAGGTGGGGGGAGCGGAGGGGGATAGGATTAAAAGATTAGGAAACACTCTATATATTATTATTATTATTATTATTTATTTGACTTTAAATTATTTTTTATTCGTTCCTGTTTTTTTTTTTTTTTTTTACTTGGTGAAAATTTCGATGATGGATTGCTTAAAAAAAAATTATTATCATTATTATTTATTTATTTTACTTTCTCTTCGTTGAATTTTATGAACATGACGGGAAATTAAAAAAAAAAGAACAACCGGAAGTAAAAAGTTTGATGTGTGTCTGTGTTTGTCGATGACTCGTTTAGAAATTTTTTTTTTTTTTTTAACGTACTCGAATTTGAATTTTATTTTAAATTTTTTTCTGTTACATTTTTTGTGTGAAAATTTAAAAAAAAAAGAAAAAAAATTTTCTTTTTTTTTTTATTAAGCAAATTAATTTATTTTACATAAATTATTATTATTATTATTATTATTATTTTTTTTTTTTTTTGTAAAAAATTAATTAATGAATCCATAAAAATGAAAAAAAAGCCAATAAAATGCTTTTTTCTATTGTTTAAAAAAAAAAAAGTTATTAAAATAAAGGAAAAGAAAAAAGAAAAAAAATTTTTTCGTTTAAAAATTAATATCGTGGAATTAGATATAAATAACAATAATAATAATAATAATAATAATAATAGTTTACGGGTTTCAACGGTGTTTTGTAAATCTTTAAAAAAAAAAAAACTTCCAGGTTTTTCCAAGGGCAAGGGGGGAAGGGGAGTGGGAGAAGAAAGAGGAAAACGGATATAAAGGTAAACCTTTAATGTCGAGTTTTTTTTTTTTTTTTTGAATTTCATAAAAAAAAAAAAATTTCTTTTCAATCTGGAAGCAGGAAATGAAAAAAAAGGCTCAGCATGAGGTTTAACGACGTATGCCTGCCTAGAAAAAAAAAAAAATATCTCGTTTGTATTTGCTTCGGTTTCGTTTATTATTATTATTATTATTATTATTTTATATTCCGTTTTTTTTTTTTTTTAATGGCGGTCTGGGGTTGTTGTACGAATTGTTGTGTGTCTTGAATTTTTATTTTTGACTTTAAATATGTATTTATTTATTCATAAAAAAAAAAAAAAAATTTATCGGTTGTGTTTGTCGTCGAAGCGTCGAGTCATGAAAATCAAAAAAGTTTTTTTTAAAAAAAAAAAAAAAAACCATCATAAAAAAAATTTTTTTTCGGGATTTCCGGTGGGTATATGGGAAGGGGAGGGAGGGAAGGTGGGGAGGTAGGGGAAAAAGGAAAAACCCGCGACATCATAAGTTTTTTTTTTTTTTTAAATACCAATCAAATTTTAAGTTTCGATTAAGAGTAAACTGCCAATAAAATCGTTTTTTTTTTTTTTTTTTTTTTTTTTTTTTACGATCGAGTTCGATGAGAAAAAAAAATGCTGTCGCAACAGAAACCAAATCATTTATACGTGAAGTAAATAAAACAATAATAATAATAATAATAATAATAATAATAATAATAATAAAATTGACAACGGGAAAAAAAAACAGACTAATGTTATTATTAAATCTTTATATTTAAACTTTTTTGTTTTATTTTTTTTATTCTTTTTTTTTAATCGTAAAATGGCAATGGATTTAAAAATTAGAAAGAAGTAGTGTTCGAACATAATCGATTCTTAAATTAACAATATCTAACCATCTAGGATTTTCATCCCTCAGGAAGATAATGGGGAGAGTTTTTCTTTTCAAATTTTCGGGAGCTCATATAATTTTCCATCCTTAATTCTAATCGATTTAATTATTATGTTAGAAATTCGATATATATATTCATTTTCGTCGAGTAAAATAAAGCGTCGTGTTGTTATTATAATTAATGTAGTAGTATTATTATTATTATTATTATTATTATTATTATTATTATTACTATTATTATTAATAGAATAATTACTCTTAGATAAAATTAAATGTTTCTGCTTGTATGCAGCAGCATTTACACATCTATATATCTTTGACAAATTCTTTTGTTTTATATAATTTAAAACTAAAATTTTATTTTCAGGTTATTGAATATCAACAACGAAAGAGAAAGAAAAAGAGAGAGAGAGAGAGGGAGAAAGAGAGAGGAACGTGAGAAAAATAAAATTACAATTAAATATTTATAGTTTTGTATTAATGTTCAGTTGAAGACATGACAAAATTTTCTAAACTAAAAGTTTTGAAAATGTGAATTATTTTTTCTCAACGCAATGACGTAACATCCGTACCAAAAAAAAGAAGGAAGTAAGGAGGAACGTGGAAGAAGAAGGAGAAGAAGGAGGAGGAGAAAAAGCGACAAAAGTAAGAAAATTTCTTTTTATTTTATTTTTTATTTTAAACAAAAAAGAAAAAACCGGCAGCAAAAAAATGACGTCATCATTGTTGTAGTTTTTTCCGTAGTTAAAATATTTATTTGTATGGAAAATTAATTTAATTTAACTTTTTGTGTTTTCTGACCCGTTAATTGTCGTCGTCGTCATTGTTGTCGGTTTTTTCTCTTCCCCTAATTTAAATAATTTGTTCTTTTCTGACCACCGTATCTCACCCCCCGCCTTACTCCCCCCAACCCCGTTTTCTTTTTCTTTTTCCACCGTCAATCTTTTATAAAAAAAAAAAAAAAATTTTTTTGGGGTTGGATGGAGTAGGAAAATGAAGGAAAAACGTTTGTTTTTTTTTTTTTTTAATGTTTTAAATTTTAAATAACCGTTGTGACGTCATCATTTAAAACCTAAATGGCGAATGGGGCAGGGGGGGGGTTGTAATAACTTTTAAATATGAATTTTTTTTTTAATTTAAATTTTCATTTATTTTGAAATATTCTATTTTAATTTTTTTTTTTTTAAACTTGTATTAAAATTTCCTAAGGCAATTTATTATTATTATTATTATTAAATATATGAGTGCGTAAGTGAGAGTTTTTTTCAAAAGAAAAAAGTAAACAAGAGAAATGATTGGTGGTAGTAGCAGTAGAAGTAGTAGTAGTGGTGGTGGTGGTAGAAGAAGGTTGTAAAAAGGACCGTAAAGGTTTCGAGTTTTATTTTTTAATATTTAATTCGAATGAAAAAAAAAATTTTTTAATTTGTTTATTTCATTTGATGAAAAAGAAGAAAACCGACCCGCCATTGCGCGTGGGAAAAAAAAAAAAATTTTTTTTTTTTTGGGGGGTTTTTCAATTTCGCTTTTTGTTGTTGTTGTTGTTTGTTTGAAAACGAATTAATTATTATTATTTTTTCCATTTCTCTTTTTTAATAAATTTATTATTTATTTTAGTTTTTCCTTTAGATATAACGGGAAAAAAAATTTTATTTTATTTTTATTTTTTATTTTTTCTTTTTTGGGAGGGGGGTTTGTTTCATTAATAATTACGCGATAAAATGTCTTTTGAAATAATTTTTTTTTTTTTTTATTCGTATATTATTGGGTTGGCAAATAAGTAACTGCGGATTTTACCAACAGATAGTTTGTTATTTTTTTTGAGTACGTTTACGTTTTTGTACAGACATGAACTTTTGATATGTTATTACTTGGTTCCTTCTGTAACATTCAGTACCAAAATTTCATTGAACTCTTAAATAGTACGCGAGCAAAAGATAATTAAACATGGGGAGCCAGAGCGAGCATTTCCTCCACATTTTACTTTTTTATTTTTGAAAGAGTGTTAATGCTTCCCAGGCCAATAAAAAGTTGTGGGTCGTGTAGGGGAATGAAGCCTTAATAGAACGGCAGTGTCAAAACTGGTTTGCGAAATTCCGTTCTGGAGATTTTTCTTTGCAAAATGAGGAGTGCTCCGGGCGCCAATTGGAGGTTAAAGATGAGCAAATAAACGCCCTCATTGATTATGATCGGCATAGTTTGACTAAGTACATTGTAAAAAAGCTAGATGAGTCACATATGTGCGTCAAAAACCGTCTGCGGCATCTTGGGTGCCATAAGAAGCTTGATGCGTTACTTTGGGGAACGTTAGTTAACGAGGCGACTCTGTCTTTGCGATATGCTTCTTAAACGCAATGCAAATGATTCTTTTTTGAAAGAATGGTCACCGGAGATGAAAAGTGGGTTGTCTATGATGACTTTTTGAGAAAAAGATCCTGGTTTAGGCAAGGAAACAGGCACCAACAACTTCTAAGACTGACATTCACCAAAAAAAGGTATTGTTATCATTTTGGTGGGATTACAAAGGCATA